CGGGAGCTCGGAACGAGCTGTTGTCGGAAGGTGCAGCATCGGCGAGGGGTAGAGGTGCGCTGCCCTTGCTTGGCATAGGGGCTCGCTGACTGATAGTCTTTGAAGGGAAAGTGCTGTGAATGGCTCGAATGTCGAATGCTTTGTCCTTGTATGCAGGGCTGCACGAACTCATTTACATCTTCATGAGTGTCTCCGCTGTTACTTCTCCTTGTTCTCTGTCTTGTGTTTGTTTTGCTGGGCTTAGCTTTGTTTGTTTCTGTCATATTTTTTGAAACTTCTGGCTTTGCGTGTTTTGGAGACACTGTTCTGTTGTGGGACTGGCTGCTGCTTCCTGAACACTTGGTGAACTTTGTCAAGTTTTCTATTTGTCTCGCATATTCCAGCAATTATTTGCTTGTGGCCCCTATCTTTTCCTCCTGTAAAAAAATTTTACTCTGTTTCTGTTCTTTGCTCCAATCATCCATTCACTTCTTTGTACCATCATGTGTTTTAAGAGTTTTAGATGTGGACTCTTTTGTCATACTTTTGGTTTTCATAAATTATCTGCTTTCCATGTTTTGCAGTCCAGTCTTGAAGAGAAAAAGGAATGTGATATGAAAATTAAGAAATACAAGAAATTGGTTATGCATTTGAAAGGAAGCATAAGTGTGGCCATTATCTAATTCTAAATATATCGACATAATAAACTACACAATATCTGTTGCTTACTTTTTTCTTTAGACTTTCAAGCTTTCTGATTCTGTGCAACTTTATAAATAGTGCAACTTTATAAATAGATGTAGATCTATGAAAGGTTTGCTGATGGAAATCTGTGGAGTCTTATCACTTAACAGTGTTTGTTGTTGTAATTATACCACAGGATTTCTTGCCAGAGACTGGTAAAAATTGTTCCTTTTACAACAATAGCATATTAAAAAAACCAAACAAATAAGAACCCCATAAATCTGAGCAAAATAAGTTACTAGTATAACTTTTTAAAATAGCCTTAGAGAGCTTTTGCTAGGGTACTGTGTTTAACCATAAGAAAAAAGTCTATAATATTTAATCAGTGGTCCCAAGTGTAGACTAGACCTGTAATGTGAACATGCCCGTAAAATGTTAGAGTTTTCCTGTCTTGTTGCCACAAGACTTAAGATGTGTTAATGAGACAGTGCTTCTAGCAAAGCATAGTAGTTAATGCTTCAGAGTGGAGCACAGAACTGCGAATAGTGTGTCAAATGCACCGTATGTCTAACACTTAAAGGTACAAGATTGTTTCATGTGTCAGGTGGAACAAACATGCAACAGATGTTATTTATGCATGTTATTGCAACATGGAGAGTGTTTCATGAGGGAATTATCATCAGAATATGAGACTCTATAGAAAAAGACGGAATTGAGTGAAGGGACTACCTTTTAATTACGGTAATGTTTAAAATAGTATAAAGCTGGTTTAGTACTGAAGGAGTTCATACATGTTACTCTTGCAAATTGTATTAGTTTAGCTTATGACATGTTAACTTGATGGAAGAACACATTGAGGTGTAAATGTGGATGACAACATTCATACCTTTGGCGTGTCCTTGTTGTTCAAGTATAGCAGCTTCACAGCTTTAGGCTTCATCCAAGTTAATTTGAAAAAAAGTTACTGTGCTTGGTACTGTGTGAGCCCTGGTCTCCTGAGTGGGAGTTTAGTGAGAAAAAAAAAAAGGTTGCAAGAAAAAAACGTGATTAGTTATAAGTTTAGAGACTGTACTGTAAGTTGGGACCATAACATGCTTTCACAGTGGAAAACTTGATTAAAATAATTTTTGAAGAAGAAACCAACTTGGAAAACCCTGCCACATTCAGCAAATACTAGCTTCAATTAAAATGTTTTATTTTTACATGGAGAGTGTTGATAAACCAAAAGGAAACTTCTTTAAACTGCCAGTTTCCTTGTTTTCAGCTATGTTTTTGTATGGCCTCATCACTGTGGTAACAGAAGGATTGCCGGTAGCACAGTAGCGATAATGAAGAAATTGAAAGTTTCAGAAATGATTTTTCTCTTCTTCCATGAGCATACAGCATAATGTAGTTTGTTTGGTTTCAATTTTATTTTTACTTGAATATGTTTTTCCTGCAGTTATCTTCTATGTTAGAAAAAACATGGTTGAAGAATTTTGATAAGACAGTGGGACTTCTTACGGTTTTAGATTTTGGAATGAATGCTCAGAAATTACTGACTTCTGGGAAAGTTATCTTTCTATGTGGACAACTTCAGTCCTTGTGATCTGCAAGATTTCTTTATCTGGAAGATTAATGTGCAGAGCAACTTAATATGCATTTTATTTGGTAACAGTATATACACAACCCTGATTTTGCTTTAATTGACAAAAATATGTAGTAGTCACAGCTCAGCTTTATGATGTGACATTTCTCATGCAGGGATAGTTGAGGCTTGATTATGGAATAAGAACCACTGATTCAAAGGGACTTTTTTCCATCAAAATTAGTGTATTGTGGTTCTTTCTGGTTTATTTTCCTAACTCACTTAAAGTCCTTTGTGACAGGAACATGTTAGAACCCTTTCCCTCTCTCTTGGTGGCTGACTCTATCAAATGCAATTTATTTATTGTCCCTGACAGTCCCAATAAAAGTCTTAAACTTTAGTTTATTACAGAATTGTTGGCCAAGTAATCTAACAGATTCTGATCCAATGGGTTGTACTTGTTGACCCCTAAGAGTGAACTGTTAGTAGTTTTAAGGCTTCTCTTCCTGTTGCTGGTTTATACTAAGGTTTCCCTATGTTTTATGCCTTTTAGTTGTTTTTGTTTGGAAGCCATGTTATTATTTGTGAGTGGTTCATGCAAGCAAGTGGTGATGTTCTAGAAAACTTCAAAGAATGTCCTGTGCTATAGAAAAGTGTTCCAAAATATCAAGAGTGATATTTTTTTTTAATTTGGGTATCCACAAACTGTTTAGAAAAATCTTTTCTGAATGTATTCTGTGTCAGTTGTAATTCCAGAAGAATATATGTGTTTTATTTTTTCTTACGTTTGTTCTTGAAGTGCTGAAATGGGGACAAGGCAAACTTATCTGTGAATGTTTAGTGGAGAATAATGTAGCTGTTTCTTAATGCAGAAATGAGCCCTAATAGACAGACCCATTAAAATGCACTCAGTAAGAATGTGGAATTCTAGTCTTAAAAGTAAGGTATGAAAAATCTGTGGTTTCAAAACTTGCAAATTTTTTTTGAAGAGCAACAGAAGTGTTAAATCCTGGCTACTTCTTTTCTAGTTACCTTTCTAAATGTTTGCATAGTCATAGAGTTTGCATAAGTGCCTGCATAGAGCTGATCTTTTGGTCAGTATGTGAAGAAATTCTCTAAGTAGTTGATAGTGTTTTAATATTGGAATAGTGATGGCATTTGGTACTTCACTGTGATATTGGTGCCACTTGTCAGTGCTACATGTAAGGGATTGTTCTGTGAATAACATTGTTTTGTCTTAGCAGATAGTGTACATGTTAGCCAAGCTGTTAAAGGGATGGTATGATACCATTCTAGTAGTTATTGGGTAGTGGACAGTTCAATTTCGGGTAGCTTTCTCTACAAAAGGACACATAAATCTTAGTAAAAATGATATGTAAAATCTTGAGTATTTCTTTTTACGGATATGATTTTGAAGGGATTTTTTTTCTTACAGGCTTCCTTACGTAAATAAAATTTTTTAAAAATCCTTGAAGATTATAAACATTTGCAGTGATAGTCTCAAATGAGTTGTTGCAGATTTGGCTGATTTACTTTAAACAAAAAGTTGATTATGCATTGGTAAATCAGTGGGAAAACTTGCACTGATTTAATGGATCAGATTTTTCAGCCTGTTGTTGAATGGACATTAGCAGGAAAGTCTGATAGCTTTTCAGTGTGTTTACTTATGTTCTTGTTAATTTCTAGTACAAACTACACTTAAAGGTGCTTATTTTCTTATTTTTTAGGACATACAGGGCATGCTGCTGATATGAATGTATTTTTAGATGATCCAGAATTTGCAGAAATTATTCTGAAAGCAGAGCAAGCGATAGAGTGTGGAGTTTTTCCAGAAAGAATCTCTCAAGGATCCAGTGGGAGTTACTTTGCCAAGGATCCAAAAGGGGTGAGCATGTTACTATAAAGTCAGAGACACCATCAGCAATGAGTTTAAAATGGAAATTTTATAATTCTATTTAAATTGAAGTTAATTTACATAAGTTGTTTAATAATTTACTGTATGCCAAAAATCTATGTTGGAAAAATCAATGCAAGTAATATTTAGTTTTCTATTTATTTCGTGCAGCGTAACCTAAGACAAACTAGCTATTATTTTTCTTTTGCAATTTTAAAATGTTTTGAATGAAACATACCAAAGAAATATGGAGAAAATAAAAGAGCCCCTTTAACATCTGGAAACAATTCAGGTATTCCTTGGTGCCGAAGCTAACATTTTGTTCCTTCTATGTTTTAATTGATTTTTGACGCAACTGAGCTTCTGTTTTGCATACTGCTTAGGTTTCTTTAGCCAAGCCTCCTATATTTTTATCTCTCTTCTTTTTAGATAGTCTTTTATTTAGGGCATAACTCCTTCCTCTTATATGATTGGTAGTTGAGCAAGAAGAGTTATATAAACAAATCCTGCCTTTTTACTTGTACTTGTCTGCTGAATCTTAACTTGAAAATTTGGTTTCATCTCCCTTAGTGGCAAATGGTACCTTGAAGAGTGATCATCAAATAGGTATCCTAGGGTTACTTTGAGACAGAGAAGTAATAGCTACCTGAATATCTTGCTTGAAAAATAATATTTAGTTAGCATTATTCTATAAGAGAAAATGATATTTCAGACATACTTTCATATAGTTTTCTTTAAATCAGACATACTTTGTCTTCTTACCAACCTGTTCCACAAAAGAAGACTCCCAACCCCCACACCTTTGTTGATTTGTCATATTTGATTTTATTTTAAGCTCAGTTGGCAGTCTTCTGGTCTTAGGTAGATGTAGGTGTTCATTAATCCTGAAGATCCCAGTCATGCTGGACATGGAAGTTGTAACACTTTAAGTGCGTAGGTTTTCAGAAGATATTCAAGATCGCTTTTCTTCCCTGCATCCATAAAACAGTAATATCCCATTTGTTTGGGAAGTTGGGGTTTTTTGTTTAGCTTTTATTCATCTTATTGGTCATTGCAGAATATATTCTTAGTTTGCCACTTCATTTTCAAAGATGTTTGGTTTGTTCTAATGCCACTTGTCTGAAGCCTCTCCAGACTGATTTTGCAGTTTTTTGGTGACTAACAAATGCCTGAGAGACTCACTGTGCCCTGGGGCTACTGAAAGAATACTTGCACATGGTTTTTGTAACCACAGTATTTTGTACAGAGTGCCTTATTTCCCTGTTTTCTGCATGGTAGTTTTGTTGTTGGTTTTACTTTTGTTTTGCAGTGAAGTGGTGTTTTCATTCTTAGTTAAGTTCCTAGTGGTCACTTGTCACTCCCCTTTGTGCAGGTCGTTGGTTTGAATGTAAGTATTTAGGAGAAATGAAGACTGAAAAAACCCACCTACATTTTTTTATGTGGGCCAGAAAAATTGCATTGCAAAACATGAAAGTATTTGCCAACATGAGACTGTGCGAATAATGATACCGAGTTCCTAGCTGACTTTCAATTTTGTTTATATTCTTTGCACTAAATTTAGAGCTTATCTGAATGTTATCCATATTAAAGGTTTGATAAAGCTTCATTTTGTCAATAGTGCAACTCCCATTTGTATAATGGATTTCATATCCTGCTTGACAGAGTATTGCATCATTCTATTTCAGACCAGTTTTGTGACTTGCTCTCTCCTATTCTTCTTGAGTAATCTCCTCTTCCTTATGCTGGGAAAGAGCTTATTAAAGACATGCTAAGCCTTCTTACTGGTCAGCTTCTGAAGTGTTTACCCACACTAATACCAAGTTACAGGTAAAATGACCTGTTTCCATTAGGTCATCTTATTCACTGATTTGGGTCTATCAGAAAGATAAAACTAAAATTGCATTATTAAAATGATTAACTTTTTGCATTTGCTGGCATAGTTGTGTACTGGTGCAGTTCAGTATTTAAACAGCACTGTTGCTGAAGTGTTGAATATTTCTGCATTTGTTGTTCATTTTGTAACAAAGTAAATGACATTGTATCTGTTACAAACTGTTGTGCAACATGTTTATGACAGTTTAGCTGTTACTAGTTGGTAATGCCGATAGAGTCAGTCTAGATATTAATTTTGACTTGCAAAATTAAGACTGGTTTTGATAGGTTGTCTACATATTGAGCTTTCTGGTTCTACTCTTGCAGTGGCTCTGCAAAATTTAGCAAGGTTCTAACTTAACTGAAACCCTGAAAACCATATCTAGATTTGATAGCATAGCACAGTACAGTCCAGGCAAGTAGTGGAATGAGCTAAGCTGCTTTCTAAAATGGGCAGTTTGTAGGCAGTATTTTCCAAAGAGTGATTCAGAAAAGAGATAATTAATGGCTTGACATAGATTACCAAATACATCACTTGCATTCTGGGAAATAAAAAGCTGCTAGCTTTGTTCTGAGCAATTAGATACTTGTGATTCAACAGGAAAAAAAAATAAATAACTTTTAAACAATTCTAAACCTAACATTAGAATTTTGCCTAAACTAGTATACCAAATAAATTCAGTTTCTGAAGTGCTGTGATTAAAAAAAAAAAAAGTGTTGGGAAAACATCTCTGCCTTTGCATAGAATATTTACTGTAAGTGTAACTTTTTGTGTAGGCCTATATTGAATTGTGTCTTTCTAATTGCATAGAACTTGCCCGTGATTTTGATAGTAACCTTAGAATCACAGATAATAGCATGCTGAAAACAAGATAATTTTTGTCAATTTGTTTCCTGCACCTGGGATAGGTGGAATGAATGCAAATAGTGATATTTTGGAATTTATTTCTCCTGGTAGTTGATGGGAATGAATCAAAATAGATGGACAAGACAGGTGATGTTACTAATGCCTGGTGTTTTGTGTAATCTATTTACAAACTGAATTAAGTACGTTCTCAGTAGTTCGTTTGTGTTGGACACAGCAAGATTGTCTTGGAAAATCTTTGACTAGTTAGATTGCCTTGGACAAAGCAGTTGAAAATTCTCTAGAAGCTAAAACTAGTCAGATCCTCTCCCTAATCTAGTTGAATCAGTAGTTACTGAAGCAGAATACTAGTTTCTGACTGCCAGCAAACTTGTGACTTAAGAGCATATATCAGCTATGAGTGTTGGTGCAACAACAAGCAGCTCATTGAGGTATTAACTTTTTTTGATAAGGGTTCAGGAAAGTACTGATATGTGAAAATGCTTCTTAAACAGTTGTTCTGAAATATTTATTAGATGAGAATTTGATTTATTTACCATGGTCCTGTGAGAATGAATGAAGATATAGCATTTCTCTTGAGCTATAGAAAAGTCATAACATGGTCTTTATGCACTAAGCTAAAGTTTATCACAGATAATTGGAAGGTTATAATTTTAGTGTGGTAATAATCTGTGGTTTGAGGTTGACAAATATAGAATCATGTGTAGGAGGCACTTTGAGAAATAATCTTTTTAATACCTCTGTTGTGGAGCAGGATGGTCTTTACGTGAATACTGACGAATGTCTTACTAACCTGGCAGTGTGTCCCAGTCTTTTGCTGCTCTTAAAGTTCAAAATCTGCTGGGATTTAAGTCTATAGTTTCTTGGCTCGTTAACAGTAAATGTCTTACTCCTTTTTTTCTCTATAGCAACCTATTACATAGTTGTAATTGTGCCCCATTTTCTCTTAGGCTAAACAATCCCTGTTCATACAGTCTTTTATTATTCACATTTTTTGTGCTTGTTCTTATGGTTTATTCAACTCTCTCCAGTTTGTTATCAGATTTCTTGAAGCATGGTGTCCAAAACTGGACACAGTACTCTGAGTAATTTTAGGTTTTACTATGTCTCTAATGTAAATGGCAGCTAATAGTGTGAACAATTGTCAGCTTTGAGTTGAGGAATCTACAGCAGTGGTACATTATTCCACTCTCTGGAAATGCAAAGTGCAGAACATCTTGATCCATTCTAACTTAAAGCAATGAATAAAATAGATATAAAAGAGAAAAGGTAACGTGATTATTAGCATTCTGGATGTTTCTTACTTTCCTGGAACCATTCTGTCTCTGCCTGGAATATCTTGTCAATGAGTTAATTAGTGCTCTGAAAATGATTTTTTAAAACTGCTTTTAAAACCTCCTTTTTAAAAAACTTAGAATATAAAAAAAAATTGTATTATAAAATCCAGTCCTCTTTAATTTTGAAAAATTGGTAGATGTTAGCTAGTTTTGATTTTTCTCTTATGAAGAGCTCATTTGGAATTGGTACTACTTCTAGACAAGTATTTGATGATAAATTTGTTTGGAATACCATTTTGTTATTTCATCATCTAAAAAGAGCAACTGTAAAATGCAATGTATAGTATCTAACCAGTACTTTCAAATAACTGGTGTGCAAAATAACTTTAATCTTTGCAACTCAAAGCAGTCATACTTTAATTTTATATTATTTATCCTAGAAAATTATTGGAGTGTTCAAACCAAAATCTGAAGAGCCTTATGGACATCTAAATCCAAAATGGACCAAATATTTTCACAAAGTTTGTTGTCCTTGCTGCTTTGGCAGAGGCTGCCTCGTTCCAAATCAGGGATACCTCTCTGAAGCTGGTGCCTATCTCGTGGATGACAAGCTGGGGCTAGGAGTTGTACCTAAAACTAAGGTAAAAGTTAAAATACATAAATTATTAATTGCAAAAAAAAAAAATAGTGACAGATTTGTCAATCTCTGAACTGTAGTTGTGGAGACATCCTTGTATATCATGCATTATCCCGTCATTTATAAAGTATTGCAAGTCCAAAGGCACAGTGGTGTGGTATAGGAATAGTGATTTTTTTTTTTTATTTTTATTTTTTAAAGGATAAGTTTGTGATCTTAATTGGGTCTCTTCTTTGGAATCACTTCAGTGTCTAGTGTTTTCTGACACTTTTGTTGCTTATGTTTTGGTGAGGTGCATGAGAACTGCAAAAAGCAACATAAAGATTCCCACTTATGTCTTTTACCGTATTTTTATTTGACATATGAAAAGGTGAATATTTGCTATTGTACATGTAAAAAATAGTCTGTTTGAACTGCTGATTCTTCCTTTTTTGCTTTTTTGACAAGTAAGCATAAAATTTACTGCAAATTTATAATTGAAGTAATAAGGAATTCTGAGCTGTGTTTTTAACTTTCATGTTTTAAGGTTGTCTGGCTTGTCAGTGAGACCTTTAATTACAGTGCAATAGATCGTGCAAAATCAAGAGGAAAAAAATATGCTTTAGAGAAAGTGCCAAAAGTTGCTAAAAAATTTAATCGAATTGGACTACCTCCTAAGGTAAGATAAAAAATAAGTAATTTGTGCATTTCCTCATTCTTACACAAAACTTTGAATAAAAAAAAATAGGTAGCTTCAACATTAGAAGAAAAACCTTGTTCCTTGCTGAAAACTATCTCTGGATGACTGAAGTTGGATAAATATGACTGTTTCCACACAAAATCTGTCCACTGTGTTACATCATTCCTTCATTTGAACTACTTTAATGATCTTTCCACTTTTTGTATCAGTTGGTAGTCTAGCTTTCCTCTGGTGAAGTAACATGTTAAAATGTGTATCTCACTGTTCTTTTTCTTGACTGTTTAGTACACTTTCCTTCAGTGGCATGTTTTTATATTGTCTAATTGTTTTTCCCCTGCAATTTATCTAATTCTTTCATTTTTCCTAAATCTTTTTTCCCCCCTTTTATTGTTTGTTTTATTCTTCTAGGTATCCTATTGTTTTCTTCATTGTACCTTCCTTTCATGTTGTGTGCAGTACTCTACTGACTAAACCCTCACGTCTTTCTTGCCTAATGAGCTTTATTGTATCCCCAAAATATCACCGCAGTGTTTTACTCCTAAAATTTTAAAACGGAGGTTAGGTATGGCTTGGGTAATCCACTTGTGTCCATTCCCAGCAATTTTGATCCATGTAACATATGTTGTGCAAGCTTGTATAAGCATGGTTTTTCCACATGCTGTGTGTTTATCCATATCTCTGCACGTGTGCATCTCTCTGCATTTTACTTCTTTAATATAAGTCCTCTTTTGAATTTTAATCTTGAGCACCTTTCCTGTTGTCCACTCATATGGAGCCTATGCCATCTGTAGTTTTCTTTATTGGACTCTTTTGGGAAATGTATTTCAGCCATTTTCATTCAAAAATTGTCTGTCTTGAAAAACTGGTTAATGCTGCTCTTTCTCATCAATGAAACATACAAGGTTTTCAGAGAGGAAGATTTTTCTCCTGTAATTTTTGGTGAGTTTCCTATGAACCATTGAACCAGGTGTTTCCAATGAAAACAAGAATAGATGTTATTTCATTATTTTTTTTCAAATATTGCTGGTAATACTGAGTGTTCATTTATGTTAAGCTGTCTGTCTACATTTTAGTCCTGGTAAACTCAGTGAGTGCTTAAATAATAAAAACAAACAAACAAAACAACAACAAAAAAACCCAGAAAAAATCCTCATGATTTGAGTCTTACTTTTTTAGGATTTAGGAATGAAAGATAAATCTTTTTTTTTTTTTTAATGTTATATTTCTTGTGTTCTGAACTTTGAAAATATGTAATCAGTTTTTCGGTTAATGTTAAGATTAGTTTTGTGACCTACCCAACTGCATTTTCCAAATGCAATTTCTTGATGTTTCAGGTTGGCTCCTTCCAGCTGTTTGTTGAAGGATATAAAGAAGCTGACTACTGGCTCAGGAAGTTTGAAACTGATCCCTTACCTGAGAACACAAGGAAAGAATTTCAGTCACAGTTTGAAAGATTGGTTATCTTGGATTATGTCATCAGAAATACAGGTATGTGTTAGTGTGTCTCGATACCTGTCTGTTTTTGTGAGGCAGAAATGGTGAGCAATGCTGGCTGAAAGCTGCTGCTGAAAGCTTTAAATGTGTTTTGGATGCTTTTCTCACATTTGAAGGCCAGAATGTTGCATTTTAAACATTAAAAAATTTACTTTGAATTCAAACATTAAATATTACAATATGACAAAATCCAAACAACCCTTCTTGGCTGTTGCTTAATATTTTTAAGCAATGTAAGAATTCAAGAACAAATACTTTCATTATGCTTTAATTTTGTCAGTAGGCTATCAACTCTCCTGTTTCCTCTGAGTAGGATAAGGAATGGTGGGGTTTCAGGAACCATAAGAAAAGCCCCGACTACCGTTTCTTTTATGCTAAGCTGGAGCTGATAACAGCATAGTTTCACATCAATGCAAAATAGTTCATGTTCATTGTGACTACGCACTGAAATACAACTGTGATGTGTATCTCTCAGTTCTCCTGCATTCTTGTTTCTTTCACACATAAACTGTGATTCTTCTGTTGTCTGTGTAGGTGGTTTTCTCAAGAATATAAAGCCAGTTTTATATTTAAAATACTTCCTTTGATGCTTTGTTAGAGGTGGGCATCTTTACTCTTATTCAGACATACCAGCTCTGGTTCATTTTTCTTTTATTAAATTTGCTTATTAGAAAGGAGTCCGGATGAAAATAAGTCACTCTGACCTCTCTGGCTTTTTTGAAGCAAACTAAACAGAAGAGAGTTTCGTAAGAATGTAGTACTTTGTAGCTACGGCTGTGGTTTGTGAGCTTTATAAAACAGATCTCAGCATTTACAAACAGTTACAGTGTCCTGTGACGTTTTTAAAATTTCAAGGAAAATACTCAAAATGCAAAACATCATCACATGGATGATTTTACCTTCATCTAATCATGATAAAACATGACAATCTTCTGATAGTTGTTTAACTAAACTTAAGGGAGCATTTTAAAATGACAGAAGGACCTAGAAACCCATGCAATCATCTTCTATCTGAAAGACCTTGTCAAAGCCTTCAATGTCTCAGTTTTGTCTGAATGGTGCAGACATTTCCAGCTTCTGAAAGGCTCTTCAGTTTTTCACCCCTCCAACATCAAACTCTATAATTTTGGTGGGCCTCTCCCTTTTCCCATGAGCATTAAAAACAGCTTAAATATCAAGTAATTGTAGCTGCTGCTGCTTGACAGTCTTTTCCCCAGGAAAAGTGCACACACAGCCAATCTTTCTGCATAAAATGGATGAAAATAGTTGCTTGTAGCTTTCTTGATATTTTGCTGTATGTTCAGCCAGTTGGGGAAAAAAGCAGTAGTAAGTACTTAAGAGCACTTGGTAAATTTTTGCTTTTTCCAGTGCATCAGTTGTCTCAAACGTTTCAGTAAAGCTAAAAGATGCATTGTAAAGGAAAAAACTTTCTGAACAGTTTTACCTGACTCCTTTCGTAAATTCTCGGTTTATAACATTAGTCATTGCATATCACTTTAGATGATGATTTTTTTAATAAATGATGTGTTGTGACATGCATTTTCTTGTTCAAAGACAGAGGTAACGATAACTGGTTAGTCAGATATGAAAAACAAGATGATGGACTTGATCTGTCAGATAAGGTAAGAAAATTGTAGTCTGAAACTTATATTCTTTATATTGTTTAGTTTCATAACTTGGTCTTGCAGGGGATTAAGTGCATGGCTTTAGTCCTGCTGCATGGTCTCAAGAAATATGATAGGTGAAATGAATGGAGAAGCTATTTGAATTAGATTAGTCTGGATAGACCAATGACAGAAGTTATTTTTATTGTTCTGTATTTTTTCTTTACTAGCTCAGGCTCTAATAATAATAAAACTGCCCACTGTTGCTCAAGCATACTTCTTCAGATATTTATCTATGCTGCTTAACTTGTATTTGGGGCAAGGGCTCCTTTTTAGTGGTGGTAGAGTATGAATTGTGTGTGCTGGAGTTTACTTGGATGCTCCTTTATATTTTTCAAATTGACTTTAAGCAGTGAGTCTAAAAAAGTATATTATTTAGTGTTTTTTATGTATTTCACTATTTTTGTAAGCACATAAGTATCCCTTATTTTTATATTCCTTCCGTAGGATAGCCAATGGACTATAACTAAAGAATCTACTATTAAGATTGCTGCAATTGACAATGGTTTAGCATTTCCTTTTAAGCATCCTGATGAGTGGAGGGCATGTAAGTATTGCATTATTCAATCCTCTTCCTTTTTGGAGAGTAACTTCTAAATATTTTTTATTTGGGTTGTTGTAGTAAGAAACTAAGAAGTCATCACTGTAGTTATAACTGAATTTTAAAATAACATACTTTTCTTCAGAAAGTTAGCAACAAATGCCATTTTTGCAGCAGCATATGTGATTTAATTCTTGTTCACATTTTCTTACCCACATACCTTTAAACAGCATTAGTGCATGCATATTCATAAATATACTACTGTATGTAAACTGACTGATGGTGGAATTGGAAAAATATAGCAATGCGTTTCTCGTGTTTTTTTCTTTAAAACCATGGTGGAAAGTTCCTTGTGTGACAGGATATGCAAGTTGTCTCTCCAGTGGCCAGATTGCTATTTCAAAACCAAGGGTACTGTTGTAGACAAGTTACATGTTATTTTTACTTGTCCTCAGCTTTAGCTTACTTTGTAGAAGTCAATCCTTAGTATTTTCAAGCAGACTGCCAATTGATATTACTGTTAAAGCTAATTGCTTCTTACCACATCTCAGAGTACTTATAGTTTAAGCCCTGTTGGGCACTTCCCTCTACAGTTATTTCTGTGGACTGTAACCAATCAGGTAATTATGGCAGATAAGTGTGGGCTAGTTTTGCTGTCAGAAGGCTAATTACCCCACCCAGGGCTCTGTATAGGCCCAGATGTCTTGATACTCAGTAGTTACTGTCCTACTTATCTCTTGGCTACGGTCACTTCTGCAGCTGTTCTAGAGGCAGGGCAATTATTGCTTATTTTATACCATCTTTTATTTCAGCATCAAAAGTAATAAACTCGTATGATCCTTTAGAATTCTTTTGCAGTTGGACAAGTGTGTGACAGTTCTGTAAAGGTAAACTTGTAGCATAATGTTGTTTAAAATTGCAGGCTCTTGAGGGGTAGTGCATGTTTTCATGATGACTAAAGCTGCTTGATTGTCAAGGATAACCTCAAAGCCAGAGAACAGCCTATTGAAAAGGCAGGAAGTTGGTCCAGCATGGATGAGCAAGGATCTCCTGACTGAACTGGGACACAAAAATTAAGTACATTAAAAAAAAAAAAAAAAAATGTGGAGACTCAGCTGGAAAGATAGAGGCTTTGTCCAAAAATGTAAGAATGAAGTCTGGAAAGTCAAATTTCTGCTGAAATAAAGCTAGCAGAGGACATGAAGGGCAACAAGAAAGGCTTAAATAAGCTAGAAGTGGGAGTGAACAAAAGTGCAGCAAAGACCTAAAGGCAAATGGCGTAAGAAAGAACAAGTTATTCATTGTGGAGACTCAGCTGGAAAGATAGAGGCTTTGTCCAAAAATGTAAGAATGAAGTCTGGAAAGTCAAATTTCTGCTGAAATAAAGCTAGCAGAGGACATGAAGGGCAACAAGAAAGGCTTAAATAAGCTAGAAGTGGGAGTGAACAAAAGTGCAGCAAAGACCTAAAGGCAAATGGCGTAAGAAAGAACAAGTTATTCATTGCTGACTTTGCCTCAGTTTTCACTTGTAAGATTCGCTCCCAGGCTCTTAGGTCACTGAGCTCATAAGCAGAAGCCTCTGGGAATGAATCATTACCCAAAGCAGAAGAAAGGGAGCACTTAAGCAAAATGGACACACAGAAGTTCATAGCAGTAGATGGGGCTGTGTTGGAAACATGGTGGGAGCTGGCTGATGTTCCTGTGAAGCTGTTTTCCTATTACTCTTGAAAGACTGTAATAATGCGGGAGGTTGCTGATGACTAGAAAGAAGTAAGTATCACATCCATCTTCAAGAAGGGCAAGATGCAGGGTATGAGGAATGACAGGGTAACCTGCCTAACCTTGGTCCCCGTGAAGATTGTGTAATGAATCCTCCTGGAAGCCACATTCAAGCATATGAAGAACAAGAACGTGATGGGGAAGCCAGCATGAATTTACCAAGGAGCAACTGCTTGACTGACTGGTTCAGTAGATGAGGGGAGGGCAGTGAATACTGGTTTTCTTGACTTTTGCGAGGCCTTCTGCCTGGTCTCTCGTTGTGTTCTTGTAGTCAAATGTGAGATGCAAACTGGACAGATAGACTGTGAGGTGGGTGGAGAACTGGCTGGGCCATCAGACTCAAAGGGCTGTGAGCAGTGTGAGAAAGTTCAGTGGGCAGCCTGCTACTAGTGACATTCCTCAGTTCCTGCAACTGGGGCTGCTTGGTGTCTTGTTTAACATCAGGTAATACTAATTACTCTTACAACATCTCTTGAAAAAGCTGTTTAAGAGCAATTATGTGAAAAGTTAAGAATGTTTTTCTCAGCATGCTTAGAAGAAGGCATTTTAATAAACCAAAATTTTTTATTAAAAAATGGTAGCTACTTTTTTTGTTAGTTCTTCAGTATGAGTCAAACATCTGAAAGATTACTGTTTGATTGCAGCCATTATTTTAATCCAAAGGAAACGGAATTACTAAACTAGGAGAATGTCTCCACTGTTGCTACAGTATTTAATTTATATACCTTTTTTTACTTATTATTTCAGCTAGATATTTTTTACTTAAAATATGTTTTCAGTGTTTGTAAAAAAGGCTAAGTAGCTGTAAAGCTGGTTTTCTAACTGTAGCCAAAAGAGGTGTATGGGGTAACTTGAAAAATGGTATGTTACTGAGAACTTCCAGTAGGCAGCAGAGTACTGCATCAGTGGTAAGAACTCGAGAATTTCATTTTTGCCCGTTGTTTATCAGTAAATGTACTGTTTTTCTGCATTAGATCCCTTTCACTGGGCTTGGCTGCCTCAAGCAAAAGTTCCTTTCTCTCAGGAGACCAGAGACTTGGTTCTTCCTCGCATTTCTGATATGAACTTCGTACAGGATCTTTGTGAAGATCTTTATGAACTATTTAAGGTGAATCGAGTGCTTTTTCTGAGTTGAGCATTACTGAAATAACTAATAGTGTAATGGAACAGGCGGTTTTTCTTTTTATGAGTGTAACTTCTCTATGTCACGATACTGTGCTATTTTAGCTTTAACATGGGCATGGTAGAAAAGTTTTATATAATTAAGAGGAAACTGTCACAGATTTGGCTAGTTGATATTAATCAGCTCATCTGAAATTATCTTTTCCATATTAGTTTCACAAAATCAATTAAAGCTAGCTAACTTTCATAGCATAAATCTGTATAAAAACTCAATTTAACATACCTGTGTAATGTATATACAGTTAAGAGAAACTGTAGCAAGCTGAGGAAATAATGTATAATATAACTTAAAGTACCTGCATACCTTTCATATACTTAATTTTACATATGAATATTGTGTGAAGTTGATGCTGAAATCTTGACCATGTTTAAAGTAAGTCGAACTTATTTTAAAGATACTGAACCTGTGCTACAGTCTTGACATGTGAAGGAGTGTCCTTCTCTGAAACATTCCATGAACAATTGTTTCAGATTTTCAAGTGAAACAATCCAAATGATCAGGATAGAAAGAAATGGAAATATTAAAATTTTAATGAGAATGCAGGTGTAACATCAAAACTACATCCTGAAACGCATTTGCAATATTTGCATCTGACTCAGTTGTATTCAAAGCAGCTCTGGGTTGTCTTTTAAACCCAGTGCAAGTTGAAGAATTGAATAAATTGGAAGGAGGAAGTATTCTCTTGCCAAAGTAAAGGTGAGAGACAGAGTGGTGTAACATTACCTGGTGGTATTAAGCCTACTTGTCAATCCCCTAAAGTGGTATCCTCTGATGCATTTTACTTTTATGATGTGGAACATCCTTCATTTTCACATACATAAACTTGGTGCAGTAAGTAGACCCTTTTGTGGATCATGCCATACCTATTTGAAGCTTCCAAAAACTATTATAATGTTGGTAAATGTGACTGTGTGTGTTACGGAATTGATGAATTTGCGTGCTAAATATATAGCCAAAAATGTGTCATTTCCTGTAATAACTGTTTGTTTTCTTTAATGAAGACTGATAAAGGATTTGACAAGGCTACTTTTGAAAACCAAATGTCTGTTATGAGGGGGCAGGTAAGACTGCTTTTTAACCTTTTTATTTATATATTTAATTTGTTACTGCTTCTCAGCTGCTTTTTAAGAGCTACAAAAACTGACATATTGAATTGAAAGACATTTGAAGGTATTTTCATCTGAGAAGACTAAATTTATTTCTAGAGCTTGTTCTTATTTGCATATAGCTGAGACAGCAGAAAGTGTATATTGATTTTTTACATTTTATGTTTATAGAAGAAGAATTTTCTTAAATAATCTAATGGGGTTTTACTGTTTTTGTGAGGGATAGGGGAGGACTTAATACGTACATATTTTCAGAAGGTATTTTAAAAATGAGACACTGGAGGAGAGTCATAAACTTGGATGGAGAATTTGGTAGGTAATTTTGTTATGCTATTAAAATAAAAGCAGCTTTATTTTGGTGTGTTAACTTGATTGAAATACCTCTCAAAAGAAAGCAATATTAGGTAGTAACATTTCTTCATCCTAGCAAATGTCATAACCATACCTGGAACCAATCCAGCCATTTTTAGAGTAGAAATTTGATTATAATTAAGTGTTAGGGCTTTTTTTAACACTGAAAGAAGAAAGGAGAAGGGCTTCTCCATTTTCTTGCTGTTTTAAAATGGTGTGATACACTGGAAAACAAGCTTTAGCTAAGAACTAATTTATTTTGTTGTAGGCATAAAACAGTTATTTGTGAAAATGTAAGGGAATTGGGCTAGATAAATTAATAGTCCCATGTGCCCTGAATTTATTCACACTGATTTCTGTGTTCATAAATTCGACATGGAGAGTTTAAAGCCAGACACTCACAATTCATTGAGTGTCTTAACCCAAACTTTCTCTGTAGAGTTTCCTATAACGAGAAGTACCTTGTGCAGGACTGCAGCTCTGCTTAGTCAAGCGTAATCCCAGTTAACGTTAGTTATGTGTGATGGCTAAAAGCCAGCAAACCTTACTTATTAAATTCAATTATAGGAGTTATTTCTGAAAGAACTTTTCTGAGAAGTTTGTGCAGTCACTGGAAGGTCACTTCTGAAGTATTTATCCATCTTAAGCTGTGTTAAGTAGCTTTTTTGTGATGAGACAGTTGGCTACAGGGAATCTGTTATTTAACAAAAAGCTTAAGGAAAAAGCCTGATCTGTATAATTGAGAAAGATCTAGCTAAGATTGTCTAAATTAATTTCCCTCCATAAAGGCTGCATCTGTACATTTTTTTCACACACTTTCCCCGAGGTGGATTTTAGCAGAGATTTTTTTTTTTTTTTAATCTCTCTAGCTATACAAAAATGCATTGCGCTGCAGATGTCAGGTTTTCAGGCATGGATTTAGGGAAGAAATGCAGATAATGAATTATTCTTGGATGTGATTGGAAATGTATCAGCAAATGATGCCTTTTAGCACTGATTTTAGACTTGCTTTTGGTGTAAAACCAAAGTATGTTACAAGGGCATTATAGAAGAGTCAGATAACTAGATCACATGGTAATGGATTTGTTCAGTTAAGATGAATTTGCAGGATAGCCAAAACATCTGTAAATACATCCTTAAAAATGAAAACTTTAAGCATTAGAAAATGAAGACTCTAGTTGACAAAGATAAGGAGGCTGAAGAGAAATGTATCTTCACATAAGGGGCAATCTAAATCTAAGGTACCAAACGTAGTTAGAAACATATTTTTGTGAAGTAGGGGGAAAAAAATTGGGAAGGGTTTCAAACCCAAGATAGACAGTTCTCTCAAAAATATAGAGACTAAGCAACCAGGTAACACAGATCTGCAAAGGATTGCCTTAGAACATTGTAAATGTCAGGTGGAGTTGCCAGAAGAGCCAAGCTGCAGTAAACCATGCAAAGGACTGTATCTGTCAGAGTTCTTCAGCCATGGAAGTGCAGAATGAGCAGGGAATCGGTAACTTGCAAAGGAAGAAAGGGGCATTGTGCAGGAGAAAAAAGGGCTTGATGATAATGCAAGTGTGTCACCAGAACTAAATTGAATTCTTGCCTCA